TATATATCTTATTTATTATCCTTATATTTAACTTTTTATTCATTTATTCGCTTGTTTAGTTATATATATCTTATTTATTATCCTTATATTTAACTTTTTATTCATTTATTCGCTTGTTTAGTTATATACTTAGCAGTTAATTAACAGTTACAAATATTAATTTTGTTAATCAACAGTGATCGTACGTTTATGTTAACAATTTCACATTATTTTTTTTTCATTTCAACAGTATGCAGGTGATGATTGTTATTATCATCTAGAAATCATATGAAATTATCATGTGAAATCATGTAAATTAATCTGAAATTATCAAAACAATCTAGAAGTAATATAAAATTTTCTAAAATGATTTGTAAATTATCTGAGATCATCTAAAAAATACCTAAGAACAACTAAAGGTATCTTAAAGTGGTCCAAACTCATCTGTAATTCATTTATCATCTGCCAGTTATCTAGAACCATATGAAATTATCTGACAATTATCTAACATTGTCAGAAAAGAAATGAAATCACGAAAATTATCTAGAAGTAATCTAAAGTTGTCTAAAATCATTTGCAAATCATCTGACATCATCTAAAAATGATCTACAATCGCCGGAAATTGAATGAAATTATCCCAAATCGTCAGATAATATCAAATCTTTTCTTATTTTAAAACAGTTTGTTTATTTCTTCTATTGTTGTCGCTCACTTACAATTATTAATAAATATTTTATTGCATTATTTTTTCTTTTACGAGTAAAATATTTTATCCCAGTAAAGTTCATCTCTCAGGTTCAACTGAAATTGAAACTCCGTATTTGTTATGTTACACTTATTGTCGTCTGTTTCGTTTAAAACTCATTTATTTCCTATACACGATTATTATTTAATTAAACAATTAGTAATAAAACAAAGTAAATAAAAGAAAAAGTATAATAGTCAATAATAAATAAAACAGCAATTACAATAGTTATGATGAATAAAATGAAAATTGTAATAGTCACAATAATATATAGAACATGTATTGTAAGAGTCATCGTAATAAATAAAATAAAAGTTGTAATAGTAATTGTAATAAATAAATTAAAAATGATAAAAGTCATAAAAAAAAATAAGAAGAAAATTGTAATAGTCATTAAATAATAAAATTTCGTTTCTCAAAAATTCTTTACACAAATTACTATTCTTTAATATATTGATATAATATTTATGATGTGAACTAATATTATTACTGCAAAATTAGTAAATAGCGTACTTAAATAATTGTTCATTATTTATCTAAACGGAAAATAAATTTTGTAGAAATAAATAAAATAATATTTGTCGCTATTCTTAGTAATAATTCGTTTTGTTATTATTATTATTAT